CCAACCCCCCCAAAGCCCCCCCCGGCAGGGCTCCTCTCGATCCTTCCTCCCCCCAGCCTGTATTGATACTGGGGGTTACCCTGACCCAGATGCAGGACCTTGCACTTGACCTTTTTGAACCTCATGAGGTTAACACAGGCCCACCTCTCCAGCTTGTCCAGGTCTCTCTGGATGACATCCCGTCCTTCTGGTGTGTCATGTATATACATTGATTTTTATACCAGTTTTGTTTAAGGCATTTGCTCGCTGTTCTATGTGCTGTGCTATCTTTTGAGAGAAATAAATTAAAAAATTAAATCAAATGTTTTGATGTCTGGAGGAGAATTTCCCCAAGTTACCCAAACTAATTTTCTTCTCTGCTCAGGTTACTAATAACAATGCCACTGTCTCAGCAGGAAAAAAACTTTGCAGAATCATACTGAAGAATCACCAAGTTATGTTGTTAGCTCAGAGAAGGTGGAGAAAAGGAACAGTAACATTAAGACATCAAATTAAAGACAACCTGCAACCCAATCTCTTCAGTGTTAAGTAAGGAATGCCATTAGTCAGTGTGGTACAGAGAGACAGAGTTTGGTGTCATTGTGATCATAACTTTGGGTTAAGTTTCCTACTGAAGGCAAAGGATAGCTCCCAGATTATCTTTGATGTGCCTGTGATCATGACCTGTAGGTCAAAATCAACACCTTTTCTCAGAAACAAATCAGAAGCTAGTACAGACTGTATCTGCTGGTTTATGCTGTCATCCCTACACTACGTATCTAAACACCATTATCAGACAGTACCATCCCAAGAGGGGAGTCCAGCCTATGCATAATCTATGTTTCATCATAAAAGAGCTGTTTCCAAAGTTAGGGCTGTTTATTTTTTTTTTTGCTATCAGTAGATTCATCTCAGTTTGATGGTGCTGCCACATTTTCACATGTGAAATTCCAGATCGGCGCAAGCAACAGCAATTGTCATGGTGTGACTTCTGCTGTTGGCCTGCCTGAAGAAGCCTTCAGATGTTGTAATTGCACCAGTAAATGCTAACTTAAAACCATCTTCATCCCTCCCCACCAACTTGTCCCCAGCTTGATTGCCTGCATCATGTTTGCACTCAGAACAGTTGATGGACTGGCTGTACACACTCCCTAAATATCAAACTTCCAAACTGAGTTTGTACCACACGAATTCGTCAGTGATATAATTTTGTGTTTTGTTGAACATGATGCTTGTTAGAAGAGATAAGGAGGATTTCACATTCTCATTCCCTGCAGAAATCCTCCTCAGACAGACGTACAGGTCAATCTAGTCCTCAAGGAGAAAGGAACAAAAAGAAAAATTTGTGAGAACTCAGGGAAAAACAAAAATTCTGATGAGTGACTTCTCCAGTAAATTAGTTGTTCAAGAAACCTAGCATAACATTCCTACATGGACCTGAGTCACAAAATCGATGCTCAGCCATTTAGTTC